CAAAATTTAGCAAAGATTTTTTTGTTAGAGCCTTGAATGTGATTTTATAAGCAAAATTTTGAGATATTTATATTTTTTTGAAAAAATAAATGAAAAAGCAAAATTTTATATTACATCTAATCTTAAATATTGATTGATTATTCTAATAGATTTGTGCGACATGGTGTTCAACACCTATAGTGCATTTTAGTAAACTTGAAAAAATATATAAACAAAAAAATAAAAGTATTAATTAATGCTAGTTAAATATCCAAATAGCAAGGGATCTAAAAAAAGTAACCCAAAGATAAACTATATAAATATAAAGAAATGTAAAATGATCTGATTATTTCAAACACAAATAATTGTTACATAGTAATATACTGTATTCTAATAATTTATACTATTACAATAACTTTCTTGAATTCTAATAGATGAGACTATCATGATAATTTTCACAGTTTAATGCACAAGAAAATTAATATAAATACACAAATTCATAACTTAATAGATAATACAGATAAGCTGTGAATAGAACAAGCAAAAAAAAAAGATATAGATTGCAAATATTAACAAGTATTTCTAGATTTATATATAATTTCAATATATAACATACAAATAATAGTCATGAAAAGGTTATCCAATCAGATGCAGAGAAATTGTACATACCATTTCAGTGTTGCCTAGAGGTGCAGACCAATGTTAAATATCTGAAATTTTTTTTATGTTCTTTGAGAACATAAATTGATAATTTAATGTTCTTATAAATATTTTAATGTTCTTAATAATAATAAAAAAAAGTAAAAGTATAATGTTTATATAACATAATTATATATTTTCTCTATATTATATGAGAACATAAATTATAAATTTTATGTTCTTAGTTGGTTCTCAAAAGAGAACTTAAATTAAATGTTCTTGAGAACACTGAGAACATTAGATATCTAACACAAGTGCAGACATATTGTCGTAATTAGGTCTTATCTAATTACCTCAATAAAAATAATCTGTTTTAAAATAAGTCGTAACTAATTACACAATATGTCTGCACCTCTAGTGCTGTAGTGTTGCAAATGAACCCCAAAAATCTAAAAATAAATCACTTATGAAATTCATTAGTGATTGATTTTTAGATTTCCGGGTTTTCATTTGGCGACACTCAATTATACACTCCATTCCTAATATAAACATGTCAGCAAAATTGATTGATTGTCGGCAAATTATTATGTCGGGGAAATGATTGTTGGCAAATGATACAAATCCACAGCTTAAATTATTCTATCTCTAACCCTAATTCGACACCTGACGCAGTGTTAATCTGAGGCACAGCATAAATATGTAAAATGGGAATGATAGTAGCATTTATTATTAATTAGGGTAGCTGCGTGACGTAGTTGCGTAATTAGGAGATATATACCGGCAATTCGAGTTTAATAAAGAACTTTTCAATAATTATAAGAACATGAATAATTGCCTTATACATTTCATTTGAAGTACTGTTTATCTTTAAATTAACTTAAATTTGCAATATACATTTGAGCTAAAACCTGATTTTAGAGTTTATCTAAACTACAAATTGAAATTTGAATTATTAATATACTATACTTTAATATTGCTATGTATATATATATATATAAGTTATGCATTACTTATAAGAATTTTTTTGATAGTTACAGACATTTCAAGTAGTGGTAAACGATTCGGGAATCTCATATACTGTAGTAGACGTCATTCCTTCTCTAAAACCATTATCGATAACTGTGTCGATTTTTCATTAATAAAACTTAAGGTCCTAAAACTAATATAAATTTGCAGAAACAAGGAATGGATTTTATTCAATGGATTATTAGAATGGTTAGCTAATTTATTAATAATTTATATTATATATATAATAATAAATTATTTAAATAATAAATATTCTAAATGTCTTAATATTAGGCTAACACTTCAAAATTAGAACTAATTAAGAAAGTACTTTTATTTGGCTTATTGAAAATTATTAAAGAGACCAGAAATGAAGACTTTAATAATTTAACAAGAGAACAAAAAATAAATCAAATACTTTTGTTTAAACCTTTTTATGGTTCATTAGACATGCCTATTTACAATACTGAGAAAGGTATGCATATATATATGCTAATTAATTATCTAATTTGTTGTATATTTATATTATATTTGTTAATAATAATTTTTCAAACAATAGGTAATGAAAATTTAAAAGTAATTATAATTAGATTCCAAGAGTTTGATCAACTTGATCAATTTGACCAATGGATAAATGAGAAAAATATACAGGCAATAATAAATCTTTTAGAAGAAAACGCTGATAGTGTAAGGATACTTTTGAATCATTTGTTTTGCATTAATATTTTGCTTTACTTATTTTAATTCTTTTTTTCTCCAGTCATCCCATATGATCTATTGTTGTATATTAAAATATGCCTTCAGCCTTTTTTCATTTGCATCTATCTTAAATAACGTTAAATTATCTCACTTCGCTAAGATTATAAATTTGATCCATGAAAAGTCTACTAAATGTACTCATCAGTTGGTTGATATACTGCAAATAAGCCAACCAAAATCAGGGGATAAAAACTATCAAAAATTAGCTAATGGAATGATTAATTTCGGACATTATCATCAAAGTGGAATTGAAACTAAAAAGAATATATATAATAACTTTACCTATTATCAAAACTCTGTCAACATGCATGAAATTGGAGTTGAAAAAGACGAACATGAAGCATTTATCCATTATCAAAAATCTGCAGAGATGGAGAACGCTATTGGAATTGGAGTCGAAAAGGATAAACATAAGGCATTTATTCATTATCAAAAATCTGCAGAGATGGGGAACGCTGAAAGAGCATTTAATGTTGGATATTGTTATCATTATGGAATTGGAGTTGAAAAGGATGAACATAAAGCATTCATCTATTATCAAAAATCTGCAGAGATGGGGAATGTTACAGCAATATTTAATGTTGGATATTGTTATCATCATGGAATTGGAGTTGAAAAGGATGAACATAAGGCATTCATTTATTACCAAAAATCTGCAGAGATGGGGAACGCTAATGGAACATGTAGTGTTGGATGTTGTTATAGTTATGGAGTTGGAGTTGAAAAGGATGAATATAAGGCATTCATTTATTATCAAAAATCTGCAGAAATGGGGAATGCTACAGCAATGTCTAATGTGGATCTTGTTATCTTCATGGAAATGGAGTTGAAAAGGATGAACGTAAGGCATTCATTTATTGTCAAAAGTCTGTAGAGATGGGAAATATAAATGGAATATGTAATGTTGGATATTGTTATCGTTATGGAATTGGAGTTAAAAAGGATGAACATAAAGCATTCATCTATTATCAAAAATCTGCAGAGATGGGGAATGTTACAGCAATGATTAATGTTGGATGTTGTTATCATCATGGATTTGGAGTTGAAAAGGATGAACGTAAGGCATTCATTTATTATCAAAAGTCTGCAGAGATGGGAAACGCTGATGGAACTGGTAATGTTGGAGCTTGTTATGAAAATGGAATTGGAGTTGAAAAGGATGAACATAAGGCATTCATTTATTTTCAAAAATCGGCA